AGGTTAGCTAATAAGCTAACTGTGTGCATTTCACTTAACAGCAAGCGACACAGCCATTTCTGATCTGCTGCATTCCAGCATTCGGTTCCTCAGTCATTTCATACAGACTTCTGGTAACAATTAATACTACCATAAAAAGAAAATAACAGGGAGAAACATGCACACAAATTGAAAGCAGATATCTGAATGTTGTTGTCCCACAAATTTAGATCAACCGCATGTCTGCCTGGAAACTTGTAACTAGCATTCATGAGTGATGTTATAATATAAAGTGTGGTGGAGAAATGACAGTGGAGCCTGTTTGTACTTTCTGGAATTAATATATATGTGCAGATAATTAAAAGAACAATAAAAATACACAAGATGAACATACACAAGGGGAAGGTTTAAACATCATCCAAACATGTCATATGGTATGGGCCTTAGGGAAATAAAGGCTTACAGGATACTGGCAGACAGTCCTGCTGCTGGTACCAGAATTTAGCAGTTTCACTGCTTGAAAATAAATCCTTTTAGTTAATCCGGCTCTGTGGGTGGAATTACACACACCACTCCCGTTATTGTTAGACAGGAGTGCAGGCTGAATTCCCATGAACTTTGCTGAAAATGTAACTTGCAGTCTTCCCTACACAAAGCTGTATTTATTAGGAATGCTTTTCAACGTGTCATGGTGAAATCTTATCATGGCAACATCAGATGTTGCTGATATTAGGGGTGCACATTTCACCCTTGATATATACCTGCAGCTCTTATTAGCATGACAGAGCATTTACTATGCATATCAAGAAGGGAATATGTGAGATTGTGAATTCTTTCACCCAGTGTGTTCCAGAGAGTAAAATCTTAGCAGCCAAATGTTGACACCTGGCATAGCGAAGAGTTTGCCGCAGACAGCCAAGGTTATTGAATGGGAATGTGGCTGCACTGTAAGCCTTCCCTCCACCATCTGGTTCATTCTGGAATATGGAATATATATCACAATTACATGAATAAATGAAAAGATATGCAACTAACTGAAATGTATGTGTTTCTCTGCTTTTCTGCACAATGAAACAGCCATCTGGGAATCAGTATGTCTCACATTTCAAGCACAAATCAAAGCAAGCAGCAATTCACTCCGTGATGTGTGCTTCATAGAAAACTGGACTTCATTATCACAGAGTTAATCACTTTGGATTCTTTTTTTTTTTTTTTTTTTCCCCTCTTCTCTATGGATACAAAACAAATCTACTTGGAAATACACAAAGACTACCCTTATTAAAATTGTAGTTGGAACAGAGTATGCTTAAAAATAAGAAAAAAAAGAAAATGGAGGCACATTTGTTTGCACTCTTGTCTCTCAGATCCAAGCTCAGAGGTGGGTCTATAGGGAGGGGATAAAGAATTGCAAGATGGATATATTCTTTTTTTCCCCCTTCTTCACTCCAGTTTGTTTTATATGCATATTTGCATTTTCCATGTCTATGCAGCACTATTGACTAATGGAATGGGCGACATGGATCTAAAGCATATGCTGTTGCCCAGCAAAACTTAATGGAAAGTGGATGGAGTGGGGAGGGGGCATGCAGAGAGCTAGAGCGTCTGCCAAGAAAATAACTTTTGACCTTCCACCATCTTGTGGCATCTGTGGCATTTGAAGACAGAATCTTGCCCCCCCAAGGTTTTTGTTTGTCTTCTGTGGAAGGTGGGTGCTAATCCTTGCAAAAAAAGCCAGTGGAGGTTTGCTGTGGCAAATTCTTCTGGGAAAAATCCTAAGAAAGGGGATGCTTAGATTCACTGGAATTAAAAGGCACATTTTCTGCAGCTACATTGGGTGTGTATGTGGATATGTATGTTAACTGACATTTCATCCAAAGGCAGAGAATGTGTCTGACAGACAAGTCATAGAATCATAGAATCATAGAATATCCTGAGTTGGAAGGGACCCTTAAGGATCATCAAGTCCAACTCTTGTCATGATAATAGAGCTATGGGAAAAGCAGCTTAAGAACAATGGATTACTGTAGTTTCATTTTTATATATGTCATTTTGTAGCATTTTTGGGAAGAAAAGCTGTCTCTATTAAACAAAAACTAAAAAATATAATTGCTGGAAGACGTTCATATACATTTGCCCCTTGTCCAAACTTCATTAATCTCCTTGAATGCAAGAGTTGACTAATTCAATGGGCTTTTAGCCAAGCTCTTAAAAATAAGACTTAAAGTAAATATTGATGATTGTTGCAAGGGTCCTTCCTATGCTTGTTCTCTCATATAATTCTGGTCTTAATAACAACAACAAAGTTTTTTATATGAGGTGATCTCAGAGAATGCACCTTTTTTTATGCCTGGCTAAAGTGACTAAAGTGTAAATTTCTTCTTTGCAAGGAAAATGCTAGTTCTGTCATGGCTGCAAGTAGGCATGTGCTTATATGCATTTGCAGCGTGCTGCAGGATTGAAGGAGCTAGCTTTTTTTTTTTTTTTTCTAGAAAAGAACAAACCTGCAATCTGTATGCATTACATTGTTGTTTAACCTGCAAATGGTATGGGTGTATGAAATAGCCTTGCAAAGTCAGCGGGATTGCCATCGGGGACCAAAAAAAGCTTCAACTTTCAGTCCTCCAAATTTGTCCCTTCCATATGCTGGATATATATTTCACAGGTTAAGAACCCTCAAGACCCACAGAAAACAATGACAACGAGCCTTTTGATGGTGTGGGATCAGACCCTTGAGGGGAGCTGAAAATCATCAGCCCCTTGTGATTCTAAACTCTTAGCAAGCAGTGGAGATGGAAAAAAAATAGCTAAAACCAGAGCTCACTTGAACCCCTGTTGTCTGAAGTCTCTTTGTGAATGTTAGAAAAGAAAATCTGCTTTGAATATGTTCTCCCTACTTCAGTTGTCTAAAAAAAAAGTCAGGGTCAAAGAAAGGGCACAGTAAATTCTGAATATCTGAAGATGTGAAGCTGATGTATATCCACTAAATGCTAACATAATTAAGACATGACATCATCTTTCAAGCATTATGGGTGCTGTATCTTGTATTGTAAATCCTTATCTAGCTTATAATGGTCTGCAGAGGGCTTAGTTATTTTTTCTCTCTGCACCTCAGATATGTGTATTAAAAATTATAAAAATAAAATTGACTTCATAATTGTTTTTTTATGGACATTATTTGTTTGACCATCAACATTTAATAAATATATTTTTCCCCAAAGTACAGCTTATAAGATGTGCAATGGAGAGTTGACATACAGCAGTGGATGCATGTGAGTGTATATGAAATCAATGTTATTCTGAAATTTAAAATCTTTGTAAATATGCTGCATTTTTACATGAAACAGAATATTTCTTGTACTAACGTCAAAGGGGAACTTGCTGTTGTCTTCACTTAGAAAAGGAACATACATATTAGCACCTTAGCATCTTTCTGCTGTAGTTACCTTTTTGTTCATTTAAGAAGTTTCAATGAAAGAATGGACCAGAATCTGTAGAACTTTCTTCTATATAAAAACCTTTATTCTCATGAATCATTCCACTGGGGTCATTGCATAAAGAGGAGTTTCAAGACAGAGCCTGTTTTTCTCAGCTACATGAATTCTGGCTTTATCAAGCTCACATGTGGTGCTGCTGAGGCGATGAAAAAGTGGCTGAGAAGATGAGGAGGGTGGAGACCTTTCAGTTTCCCACAGCAAAGAATTTCTAGGGACAGAGTACAGAAAATGCACATGAAAAGCCAGACCTTACTCTGCACATAGATCTCCTCAGGTCTTGGTTGCTCCAAGTCTACTGGCAATGCCCTCTATATTGTGAGGATAGGGTGTGTCAGAAAACTCCTGAAAATATTGCCAATAGATCCTGTGCCATGTGGACACTTGCCCACTGCCAACATCCCTGCTTTGAAACAAAGCCTGGGTTTCTTTGCAATTGTGTGAAGGAGAAGGGTGGTGTTGGCTTATAGGTAGGAGTTCACCATCCAAAGCATGCTGCCAACTTACTTTGGCCATCTAGGAGTTAAGCTTCAGCTCCTAAATTTGGCCCCTGTTTATAGACAACAAAGCCTCTCTAGAGGGGATTCATTGCATCCTATCATGGAGTTTGGAAATGGCTCTCTAATAACAGTAAAGGGGTCTAGATAGCTGGCTGAGGCCTAACCCTGATGAGGCTGAATTTAGGCGAGACAAGCTGCACTCAGAGTCAAACCCTCAGCATTAGCATCACCACCAACCAAGAATCTGTCTGTGAACATCTCAGGCTCCCTTCAGTGAGATTTTTCTACTGCTTCACACCATGAGTACTCACACAAAGCAGGTCAAGCCCACTGGGTAAGAGCAGCATTACTACCCGAGTATTATCGGCGTAACAGAAGACAGCAGAGATCTGTTAACCTTTTGCTTTGGTAAGAATTAAGAAAGAGGGTAACAAGAATTTTCCATCACTAAGGACGTATCAGGCAGCATTAGCAATGGATAATTTGAGGGGTTAAGAAGTCTGCCCTGCAGGGTTTTTTTTTTTTAAGTTAATCTTTTATAAAGATTGAAAGTTTCACAGGCACAAAGTTTGCCTTTGAGAGCTTTAGTTCTTTTAGCCTTTGCTCTTGATACTTGCCAAAGGACAAACAAAATGTGAATTTGCATCATGCCTCAACATGTGTTTCACATATTTTACATGTGGCGTCTAAATGGCTCCTGTGACCTTAGTGTGTGGATCACACGTTTTTTCACATATGCTTTCTGTGGTTCACATCTGCTTGAAACATTGTTTCTGACAGTAGAAATCATTATTGTTTTACAGCAGGCTCTAATAATTTAATTCAAGCAGCAGAACTTGAGAAGACGCAGAGTGTTTTCGGTTTTGGTTTAGATTTTGTGTTGAGTGCTACCCATTATAATTGCATACCAGAGGAGAGATTCACAGCCCAGGCCAGAGTTTTCAATTAAGGCGATCAAGAATTTTTTTTGTCAAATGCTTTTTTGTCAAATGCTTTTTTTTTTTTTTTTTTTTTTTTTTTTTCTTTTTCTGCAAATATAAATATGCTGGCTTGTCAGAGTTGTCACTTTTACAGAAAGGTGCCTGATCCAGGCAGAAGGGTGGATCTGAAGGGTTTTCTGGGTCTCTGGTTGAATTTCTCCTCAAAGCTAGAAAGTCGGTAGTCTGCAGGCAGGTACTCACAGAGGATTTGGGAAATCTGGGCTTAATTTTTTATTCTGTAAGATTTAGAGCACAGCTTGAACACAGCTCTTCCATTAACCCTTGTGAGTGCCCTAATGTCGTGGGCTATCCAGATAGTTTTTCTCTGCCTCGGTAATTTATTTCTACAAACTGGAAAATGTCCTACAGAAGGAATTTAAAAATGGCAGAGTTTCTGGCTGAGTCTGTAGCTTGATTATTATGACAAGGATGTAGGAGACTCTTGTCAAAGTCCTCGATGCGCTGCATGTTTAATTATTAATACAAAGCAGACTTTCTCCAGTGGAATAGATTGAAAACAATCCATTCTGCCACCTGATGGACAGGTCCCTTACCAGGCCTATCACATATGTGCATAGTAGTGCTTAGTCTGAATGAAACTGAAAGAGTATTTGAAACTTGTTTTTTTATGCACCACTTCCGAATAGCTGCAAAATGAACAACTGTGTCTGCAGTGACAATACAAAAATCATTGTCAAAGGGGGACCCACCTTTCTGGGTGACTACTGCAAGCCTTACAACACCTCAAGAAGCACAGTCAGAGTGCTGGCCCAGAGCATGAAGGAGCGTGTTCACCTGGCAACATACAACGCTGCTCAGCTTGCTTACACCAGCCAGTCACAGGCAGCGTGTCAGGCAAGTGCATCTGGACAAGTCCACAACTGCTGCATACATCACCAGTTTCTAAATTTTACCAGAACTACACTATGGTGAAAATTATGATGAGAACAGAAACCATTTCTAGGATCTAAAACACACTGGATGGATATATTAATTTATTCGTTTTGTCAGTTCCCCGTGACAGAAAGGTCTGTCCTGATGCATTCATTGATCCAGCTTTTCTCCACTTATTTGCTAAACCTTCAGGTACTGAGGATATAAAACTATACCAGAAGCAGGTGAACTGAGGACATCCAGACACTGTGGAGATGGTTGAATTTATCTGTAGTTCTGGCCTCCACAAACTGAGCTATACGTGTCAGCTACTGAATTTATTCTCCCTGCTCTGTTCCATCTATTTCTCCATGCAGTTCTTCAAGGAGTTCACACAAACACCCATCTCCTTGCTTGTTATAAGTAGCTTGCTTTAAATTACTTGCAAGGTATTTTCAACCTCATGGAATTCTCACTACAGGTGACAAAAGATTTTTTTGTTTTTAAATTGCATATTTAACTGGTAAAAGTTGCCCACTGAAGTACTGATTCACAGAAATAAGACACTGCAGCCTGTATTGCTGTGCTGCAATTTCAGACCCACAGGTGACTGACCTGTTCCAGGACTGCCTTGTTCCACCATATTTGCAAACAAACAGGAGCAATGAGATTATTGTACTTATAAAAAGGGGCCTGGAAATGAATTCAGAGGTGGTCATGCTGAACTTGTATATTGCCTGAAGGAACAGGACACTGGGTAGGGTCTGAATAACCCTTCAGACTGAGAGTTAGTTCGTATTTAGAAGTCAGAAATTGAGCTTTCTATTTAGTAGCACTTCAGTGCTCTGATATTTTCTGCTAATGACACTGCAAATGTTTTTATTCTGTTTTTCAGTGAGGACACAAGTGACACAGAAAGGTAAAGTTGTGAGGTCAAGGTAACAGAAGGTGAGTTTATCCTTGGCAGGGCAGAATGCAGTATATGGATGCTATTTCTAACTGTATCCTCTTTGCAACCCATGCTATGAAACAGATCTCAGTTACTTTAGTATCCTGGTGTTTCAGATTTTCACCTAGCTGTTTATTAGATAGCCTTCTAAGTGAATACCTCTTATTTATGCATTGGTTTTCGCTTTCTTCTTCCAAAACAACCATACCCTTCCCTGTGAGGGCAGAGGGTCCTAAATACAACGGTTCAGCTAGTTGGGGAGGGCAGTGGCATGTAAAAGAAAGGTCATGAAGGGGGATCCCTGCTGCTCATTCACCATTCTTGATGGCATATGTTGCCAGAGCAGATTTATAGGGGTTGTAAGAAAGGGCTGTGTTTGACAAAGGGACAGGGTCAAGGAAAAAATTATTAGATACCCATTCCCCAGGAGGGAGCTGCTGTTGTATCACACAAGCTGCAGTGACACATTTAAGTCTGGGGGAGGGAGAGTGTTTTGCATCACTCAGTGCACCGTATATCCCCTGCACATGGCCTGTTTACTCAAGCTTTTCACAGGCATGCAGGCTTTGGCTCACAAAGAATGAGCTTAAGCCAGAGACAGGACCCCTGAAAACAAAACATTGAGTATAAGAAGCTATGATTCTCCTTTCCTCTTCTTGATGTATACATGCAAAGCTCATTAATGCTAATGATAGTCTAGGAACAAATGAGCCATGTTGTACAGCGGCTACTTTATCCCATAGGCAGAGCAGGAATGTGGCACCACTCACCCAACAAGTTACCTAACACAGAGTTGGCCTCATGTTGAAAGAGATTTGAAGCTGTAGGCAGTTAAATACATAGCCTGCCCCTTAGGACTGCCACCGTAAATAAGCATTTTAAAAGAATCTCAGCCTTTAATGAAGAACAGAGGGAATTTTCAATCAGTAATCAGAAACAGCTCTCAAAATCAGGGGTAGTGGAGTGGTATGCATATTTTTATTTGGTGCACAGAAAATGCATTGTTTCTGAGCTATTTCTATAAGTAGACTCACTGTACTGTTAAAACCTTAGTGGATCCTGCAGTGTTTGTGATTCTCTGAGTATTAAAGGAATTAGAGAAAGCCTTCTAAAGTAGTTAGAGGCACCACAGTGAGAAATGATTACCCACTTTAAAACCAGCCATGTACAATTAAAAAGAAAAAAAAATAAATGAAACGGAGAATAGATGCACATAAAAAGACTAAATCCAAAGAAAGGAAAATAATTTAAAATATCTATCTGCTATAATCATTCCAGGCACACTGTGAGACTACATGTGCTGTAAAGGAAGACAGAGAAGTAAAAAGACACTTATCTAATCGTCTGCAAATTATAGTAAGAACTACATTAATGAGACCTAAGGATATATCCCTGTTAATGAGTCATCAGGATTCTCAGGAGTAAATGAAATTCCATGCTTGTGTAGTAAAATGTACTTAGGTCAGACCGGAAAGACATTATTCGTCAGAGAAGATATAAAAAAAAAATATTGCTAATAGTCAAAGCTATAATCAGTGAAGCTCATGTACTGAAATGCTAAAGTAGCCATAAACATTTTAAATAAAATGTCTAGTCCTACACAATATGGCATAGATACAAATATATATAAAACAAAATAAGCTCAAGCCCAAACCTACAATACTGAGGAAATGAGAAATCTCTTTTATATTAAGAAAAATAAATATGAGGTGATATAGAGAACTGTGATAAAAATGCACGTGCTTTAAGGTTACACACTATCAGTTTTCTTAGCATCTCCACATCTTTTGCAATTCTGCTGCCTATCCTTCAGCCTTGTGTCAAGGCTATTTTTTCTGTGGACTCAGGGTTTTGGAGAATTCATGTACTGTCAACAGGCACAATGGTCAAACTGTTGCAAAGAAATCTATAAAAGAGGTGTTGCCTCTATCTTGTCACCATTTTGTACCTTTGGTAAAACTTTTGGTAAGAGTTGAGATTTTGATTTAACGGCCAAACTGTGATGCTAAAACCTGAAATATACATAAAACAGAAATGAACTTTCTGTTTCTTGGCACTATTAAGAAAAGACAAAGAAGAAAATGGTGAAAATAACAGAAGTATTGTCTATTTGAACACCTTTCCTAGCTTACGTGCATTTACTGCAGGCATCAGTAACAATTCTGATTTATGTAGGATGGAGTAGCACCAACAAATAATATGGAAAATAACCTTCCTCAAGCACTTGTATGCCTGATTGGAGAAAGCTTCATCATGAGAAAGCAGCAGATAGTGTATTTTCAAGTCCCCAGAAGCAGATTAGAGCTTTGAATATGGCTACAGATTAAGTCACTAGAGTAGGGGAGACAAAAAATAAAGGAGGGTGGGGGTGGGGGTGGGGAGACACCAAATGGAGAAGAGAATTAATGATTGCAAATGATTGCTTTCCTTTAGTCATTAAACCTGTCCAGAAATTGTGTCCTTGAAATTTCACAGTAAATGATTTTGGAAAAATTATAAATGATTGATTACTGAAATGTTTTGTCAGTATTGTCCCATCTGAAACTAGTCCTTGATTCTAAGCAGAATTCACAAACCGTTCTGGTTGCTATAAAGATGAATCTTTAAGCAAATGAATAATTTACACAAAAAAGTCTCCCACCCCCAATCTTAGTTCACGTATTTTGAGGGTATGTTTTGACTGTGGGGTCTTTCATTAGATTTTTTTTTGTCGTTTATAGGGACAGAATTTATTGTATCATCGAAGAATTTTCCATCAGTCTTTAATATATCCTTCTTACATGAAGTCTGGCAAAACTGAAGACATGTAAAGCAATGGAAATGTTCCTGCCACTAAGAAATCTGGACATGGCCAGGAATGTGCAGTGATGAAGTGTCTTAGAACTCTTCAGTTTCTTCAGCCAAGGGTAATCTCACTAAAAGTTACACATACATGAAAAGAAAAAGATGTCATCAAATCACTTCCTTACAGTGATCAACAGTGTTGTGGAGTGGGGCCTGTTCCAAAGAATCTACATATCTTTCTTTGCTTCAGCTCAAATGACTTTCTTCTCACTCGCCTCGTTTGACTGTATCTTATTTCCAATTCTTTCTGTGGCAGTTTGTTCTGTTTCTCATCATCTCATGTATTCATCAGTGTCCTTTGGCCCTGATCCCAAAGCCAAGCCTTTTACCCTTCTTCATCTTTTTCAGAACAATTCATTTTAAGTCAAAGGAAATCAGGGCGTAACTGTTAAAAAACACACTTTAAAACCTGAGAAAATGGGTCAGTTTATGTACTAAATGTTCTTGGGCATATTGTTAATTTGAACTACTTTTAGAAGGGTCTTTCGACAACATAAATCCCATGTGATGTGGCAGCTGTTATGTTAACTAGTATGTTTCCATAAAAGCATACAATGTGGTTGTGTAATCCCAAATGTAAATTCATTTGTTCAAGTTAAGTCTGCCAAGACACCTCATTTTTTTCAGCTTTTTAATTGCTCCATAAGTCTGTGCCTTTTGTGCTTGAAAGGATAACACAGCTTTTTTTTTTTCTTTCTTTTTTTCTTTTTTTTCCCTAATCCATTGATTTTGCTCTTATTTTGAAGTAGATACCTACCAGCTATAGCTGCACTCAGGTATGCTTCCTGTGGGATATTGCAGAAGCTGAGGTATACACCTGAGATCTGCCTTTACTAGACTTTCACATCTCAAATGATTTGATTTAGGCATTATTACTAGTGCTGTCTGGTGCCTAACCAACAAACAACGCAAACAAATGGCAATGGGCAGTAAATGAAAAAAATTCCAACCTCCAATTTTTCAAATTATTGTCTAATGGAAACAAAGACTGAAAGACTCAATAGGTTTGTGTTTTGAAATATTTTTCTCCTGACAATACTAATAATATTTTTAGTGGCATGAATAATGTTAATTTTTTTTTGTTGATTGTTTGTTGCCTCCAGACTTCTCTTGACATGAAATCAACAAGCCATTTCAGAAGTGGAGTGGACTGAGTAGTTACTCACAGACTCACCTCGATGCAAATGCAGCAAACCCTTTTAGCAGTGGAGTGCATTGAGTACTTAGTCAGTTTTAGAGATGTCTCTGAACGCACTGTGTAAGTATTAGTATAAACTACTAAAGATTATGTAAGGCAATTCATTCTGTGAAGTTCTTGAATGGAAAATATTTAACAAAGGGAGTTATTTTTTTCTGATTTTATTATTATTATTTCTTTATTCTCTTATGTACAAAATTTGTTATCAGAATTAAAAGGAAAATGTTATTGCAAATACTGGTCTTTTACTGTAGATTTTTAAAAATAAGAAGGAGGTCACAAAATTATGAGGTCATAAACATGAAGGTTATAAGACACAGTACTGTCTTCTGTGACCAATTCCCAGAGAAGTCAGTGCCACACTGCTTACAGAAAGACACTCTGTGTGTCTTTAGCCTCTGCTGGATCATCAACGGTATCTAAGCAGGTTTCTGTCACCAACCTAGAAGAATTAGCCAAAGTAACTGATATATAGGCTCCAGATGTAATACTCCAGGCTTAGTTTGGTCAGAAAAGTTAACTGTATTTGTTGGGCCTAAGAAGGAAGTCAACTTCTGTGGACTGTGGAGAGTGGAGAGAGAAACCAGCAGGATATTAGTCCTGGATTATGTGAAATTCTTTATCAGCCTCTCTTTCCACTTAACCTTTTAGAACAAATGGTGCAGATTTGAGCTTTTAGAGAGAGAATTGCAAAGTCTTCCTTATCAGTGAGCAAGAGTGGGATGGGGGATGTTCCATAAAACAAAGTAATATGTAAAAGTGATGCATATACAACACTTAAGAGCAGAAATGTAATAACAACTTTTTTGTATGTTCGTGTATGTTCACAACAGGAAACTATTATATCCTACATGGAGTTTCTAATTCGTAGCTACAACAAAGATTTTGTTGTTGTTGTTGTAGAAGAATGTTTGCAAGAACATTTTAGATAAGACTTGTAGTTCATCTAGTATAACTTTCTGCCTGACAGGAACCCTAGATGCCTCTGAGGAAAGTGAAAACAGTTACTATTAGGTAAAATGTCTAGCATATAGACTTTTTTTGAAGTCATTAGGTGTTTAATTTTGTGTCTTTTCATGATTTTTTAAAACTTAATCTTTATTATAACTATAGATCTTCTTATCCATATAAATTCAACCGCTCTTTAAATTTTGCTGCAATCTTGGGCTAGGTAACATCTTATGTACACTGTGTAGAAAAGATTCTTGCTGTCTCAGATTTGAATCTGCTGCCTTTCTGTATTCCTGAATGTACCATTTTTCTTGTGCTAAGAGAAAGAGACAATAGAAATTCTCAGTATATTCTGTCTGTATTATTCATTCACTACTTTACAGACCTTTGCTTTGTCCATTCTTATTTGTCTTTTTGCTGAAGTTACAATCTTCATAATTTTTATTCAGATTAGAGATTTCAAGAAGAAGCAATATTTGAAAATCAAAATGGAATCAGGAAATTTACAATACCTGCTTTTATTTTATTTATTTATTTATTTTTAAATGGACATCAAGTTGATTAGGAAACAGGTGAATCACAAAACTGATTTCATTTCTTCCTAAATGTTTCATATCTGTGTGGCTAGAGATAGTAGATGGCTCTGCAAAAAATAAATCCTTAACAGCTCAGAAGTTTTACAGATGCTATAGGAAAATAGAACACATTTTTGCTTCATTGAATTACTGTTATCCCCAATTATTTTAGTTGCCTTTAATAAAGAGCATAAATAATATGAAAAAGAAAACATTTATGATTCCTAATTTAACTCTTATCTGTTTCAGTTCTTCTTGTAAAACAGAATTTCATGTTCATTGTTGACAATGTAATTTTATCACAAGGAAATTTCATGCCCTAGCCAGCCCTGATGTGAACTACTTTAACTGACATGAATGAATAAGGGATACTGATTTATTCTCTATAGCCTTCTACAGAGAAATAAACCATTATCTATATATTATAAACAGCTCAACAGCATCTTTCATTTAATCTAAAACTTTTCGGTCACAATGCCAGCTTTTAGATTCGATTTGAATTTTCTGCAGTACCCAGTGGTACAGTGGGCAGAGTGCCAGGCAGGAATAGGAAAACTAAGATGAAATTCCTTCTAAAAAACTTACTAAGCATTTCAATCAGAACACCATAGGCAAGTCATCAAGACACAGCTATTCCATTTCACTCAGTTCCTGTTGCTGATAGATATAGATACACTGTGAAGGAATAGGAAATGAGAATGAACCTTTCAGTGTAATATCATTTGCCACTGCTTAACAGAGATATTAGACACTGGGGGTGTCCCAGAGAGAGGCTTTTACAACACCTATTGTATTTTTCTTCCGTGGGTGATTTTAGTAAGTTTCTATGAAAAGACTTAGGTCAAATTTACCAGAATAATTCAGATGGATATATACTGCCTGTCATGTACAGGTGAGCAGGTGGGAGTGCTTGAGATGTTCTCCAGCTTGTTGTTTTGACTTTGTATAAGTGTCAAATCTCTGAACAGCACATTTGCTTTGCACTATTTTCTATCTAATGACCATGTGTGGAAGCAAATATGGGCAACATGGGAGATACAACAGTTTGCTGTTTTGTGTGAAAGCTTTGTTAAATTTTTGTCTCACAAGAGAGGTGAGCAATGTATTTTCAAAGCAGAAATCACTTTTCAGGTGGTTTGTGGGATTAGGGATGAGTATGTTCAAACTTAACAGTCGTTACAGATGTGTACACAGCAGTCATCACCAGCTAAACTAACTCTTCATAGCGCCATGCACTCCAAATAAAACCAAGTGCTGCTTTAATGTCATATTTGCAAACCTGCTTTTAGTGATTAAGTCTATACAATAAGATGCGTGGATTTAAGAATATAACTTATCAACCAGACAATGAAAATCCACTGCACCATTGGCCATTTTGACCTATTAGAGCGGACAGAGCTTGAAGATACACCATGAGGCAAGAAATAAGGAAAAAGACAAGGAAAGGTGTGTGTACCTATAGTCAGCTCTGCTCATCTCTCACAAGATTCACTATAACATAATCTTTGAAAAAAAATGGAACAAAAATATACAATAAACTGTATTAAGCATATGGGTAGAAATCATACCAACATTCATTTATTTGTTATGTATCACAACCGAGGCAGGTCACTAATGAATGTCTGTTTAGATATTTCTTGATTTGTACAATAACTACTCATAAACAGTTATCAATGCAGAAGTGCTACTTCTTCGTTTTAAAAAGTCCGGTTTTGTCCATGTAGAAATGGTTTATTCTTGAAAAATGAAACATAAAGTAGAGTTTTAAAAAGACACTCAACTGGAACACTCTTCATGAATAACACTGGGTAAATGCTACAGAAAAAAAAAAAAAAAAGAAAAAAAAAAGAAAAAAGAAAAGGTAAATAGTAGATTTTTTTCCCTCTAATTAAATGAAATGAAGCCCCACCAAACCCCTAGATTTATTCACTGTCAGGGAACTCTTATGTAAGAAGAAGAGCTTTAACATCAGTAACCATAGCATAAATATTCATACAGATGTCTGGAAAGAAAGCGCAACTTCAAGAAAAGTTTACTCTGTTTATTTCTCACATTTCGTCAATGCAGAGCAGAAGAAAACTTTTGTGGCCTGCACTAAAAGTGGTTGAGTGTGAAACACAATTACATTTATAAATACACAGTTACATTAATATAAACATTTATTGCATAATATTCTTTCCATCTTCATTAATTCGTATTTGCATTGAGTATGCTCTGGAATTTGGTGTTAATTAGCCACTGATCAGAAGTCTTTATTGTTAATCCATTTTATTGTTTGCAGATTTTATTTTCTGATATTTGATTGCAAGAGACAATAGCTTGATCTCAAAATATCTTTTTCATTTATTTAGATCTTGTGTTTTCTTTGTCCATCATGTAACCTTGGGTGGGTCCAGTTACATATGCTCGTCTGGAAATCATCTGCACAAGACCTATAGCTGAGGAGGGATTTAGGGAAATTGTTAGGTGTTGTTCTTGCCTTCTTGCCGACATTTGATTATTCCAAGATGATCTTTAGGAATGCTGCCACTATAACTACCAGCATCATTGTAAGGTTGTCTAGGAAACCTTTTCTGTCTGGAGATCTGTTGATTAAAGGACTTCTGCATTATTTTTGCTGTTGATTCATAGAGTGGATAATTGGGATTTTGGTTTCTTTAGTGGAAGCTTTTTGCAATTGTTATTGGCCAGTACAACTCTAAGGGCCTTGTCTTTAAAGGCAGTTAAAGCAAAAGATCACCTCTCCCAATGAGAAAAGTGTAGTGAGGTAAAAGCAAGCTTGCAAATCTGAAATTATTCCCTTGTAATCGCTGCTTTTTTTTTTTTTTTTTTTTTTTTTTTTTCTGTCTTGTCATTTTATTAGAGAATTAGGAAGTCAAAGATGACCAGTAGAAAATGATATCCTGAATTATGCTTTGGTGAGTGGTGTCCCACATGTGTCCATCTTGGGACTAATGCTGTTTAATATTTTTATCAATGACATAGACAGTGGGATAGAGTGCACCCTCAGCAAGTTTACGTATGACAGGTTTGCTGAGTGGTGCAGTCAAAACAACAGGAGGAAGGGGTGCTGTCTAAAGGGACCTGGACAAGCTTGAAAAGTGGGCCCACATGAACTTAATGAGGTTCAATAAGTCTAAGTGCAGGGTGATGCACCTGAGCTAGGGCAATCCCAGACAGGAGTACAGATTGGGTGAAGAACTTATTGAGCACAGCCCTGCAGAGAAGGACTTGGGAGTTCTGATGGATGAAAAGGTCAACATGAGCCAGGAGTGTGCACTTGCAGCCCAGGCCAATTGCATCCTGGGCTGCATTAGAAGAGGAGTGGCCAACAGGTCAAGGGAGGTGATTGTACCCCTCTACTCTGTCCTTTTGAGGCCCCACTTGGAGTACTGCATCCAGGTCTGGAGCCCCCAGCACAAGAAGGATGTGGGGCTGTTAGAGTGGGTCCAGAGGAGGGCCACAAAGATGATCAAGGGGCTGGAGCACCTTTCCTATGAAGAAAGGCTGAGAAAGCTGGGGATTTTCATTGTG